ATTTTATAAGACCGTTGAAAACGATAACGCCCACTGCAGGTTGTACGGCATGGGCGCAGTGAGCCGACCTACGCATGAGGCGGACTTGTGCCACGTCTACCGCAGTCTCTCCTTCCCCGCCGACCTGGCTTCTATGGCATGGTATCGTCCAGAAAAACCGAAGTGGGCTCTGGTGCAGTAGGCGTAAAAGCTGACCATTCCGTCTGCGCATGCCACAAAAGACCGCCTTTCAAAAGTTTGTACTGGTAGGGGGCGCTCACCGATCGTTCTAACGGGACTCACTCGTCCTGTTGTGCCTTACGGGCTCTCTCTCGAGCCCAACTAGCAGCCGCACAGCGGCGCATGATATAGGCAGAATGGTATTACCGACAAAGACGAGAAAGACTGAAATGGCCATTTCTGGTTAGAGGCACGGACATCTAACTAATAGGTCGCGAGTTCCAACCTCGGGTGTTCCACATTTCTGGGTTGGGTATGACTGGCTGACGACGGCTTATAAGCCAGAAATGGCCATTCCAGTCTCCGATGCCTTTGTCGGTAATAGCATACAGCTTGTACTGGGTTTTCACGTGAGTGGCTCATATCTCACATGTGGGTGCCATAAAGGCCACACAGCTAAATAGCCATGGAATTTGACCCACATTTCTAGCAAAATACCAAGCGACCCTGTCATTTGACAACATTCCAGGTCAACGACTCTTAGCCTGTCGTGATACTTCCAGCGCGTCAGATTCATTGGAGAGAAGGACGGCGAGCTGATATGTTGTGGAGATGGATTTCCCACCGCAGACCTCCCTCGCTCCCTCTAAGTGACTATCCAAACCTGCCAGCCGCCTGATTCTGGGATGAGGGACAGCGACTGGCGTGGCGTGGGCGTCTACGTCTAGGAGTGTCGCCACACCCATCTTATTCAGTAGTAGTGGGCTGGCACAGACTCTGCGCAGCAGCCAAATTAACGCTTGATATGAGACAATCGATCTTGACGATGTCTGCTGGGTGTTCCACAGCAGGCTGGGTAATATCTCGGTGACCTGTGCATTGATTTCGGTACGTGGGCTAACTCATGAAATGTAAACCAAAATCCCGAAATGCGTTTTCATTTCGAAAAGATTAATTACGTAGGGTTGTAAAACTAGTCAGATTGCAATATTATTCTATAATAATTCAGTTACCTCAGGATCTTGGCATTCGAAAAAACGTCTTTTCAGCTACATCGAGAAACCATACTCCATAACAAATGAGTACTTACGTAGCATGCATTTTTTCATTTATTTTCGATGCCCTTAAAGAGTCAGTTATTTTTAATGGAAAACATGCATAAAAGTATTCATTCTTTGGCTCATTTGGTAAAAAGTTAGGTCTTCTTTCAATTTTACGCTCGACGGAAAGGTGTAATTTAGTTTTATAAGACGTTTTTAATTCCCAAATAATGTTAAACCCGACCTGCCGTTACACTTGCATTCAGGGTTCACAAAGTACAAGCCGTATATTTTGTGCGTAAAGAAAACCACATATTTCTCTATGGGATTTGGAGGAGACCATATGGCGTTCAAAAAATTTGGCAGTGGATTTGAGCCACAATGTTGACTTTACAAGCCACCTAGGTAATTGCAGAGACGGGACGTTTTATGAAGGGCCAATTCACGGTATTAAATAATCTCTCAATTATAAATTTTTAAAACCGAATTATACCCTTCCTTCAAGTGTAAAATTAAAGGAAGACGTAATTTTCTACCAATTGAGCAAAAGAATGAATATGTTATGCATGTTTTCCGTAAAATACATTCGTATTTCAAAGGACATCACTTAAAAAATGCAGGCTACTTAAGTAGTCATTTTTTATAACGTATAATTTTTTCATGCAGCCGGAGAGAAGTTCATTAGAAAGCAGGCGCCCAGGGGTAAATGAATTGTTATAGAATTATACTGCAGGATAATTAGTTTTACAACCCTACTTAATTAATCTTTTAGAAACGGAAATGCATTTCGGAATTTCTATTGAGGCTTCATGAGTTAGCCCAACTACGGTAGCTTTTGGTAACAGCGGACTTGCGCCGCATCTGTCTCACTCCCTCCTCTCCAACCGGAGCCGACTGTCATGGGAGAGTCAAGGAGGCCGGGGGCAGGAGAGGACGCAGAGAGGAAATGAGCGCCTTAGCCTGCCACCAGGCTCCACAACAAACACTTTGCCAGGATTTTAAGACAACAATAAGAAGATAAGGGCAGCGGCACAGATCTCAGCTCTCACGGCGTGGGCCTGCGTGTAACGTCACCCCATCATACATCACCCTTCCAACGTCCGCATTTCGCCTGGATTTGCGCGTAGCATGGCAGATTCCTAGCTGAAAAGCTGCACGTAGAGGACCCGAAGAACGCACGTTCGACTTACGTGAGTGGCACCGGTACTGGGTGGAGGTGGCGGAGTGCATGTGTGATGGACGCGTTGGTGGAGAGAATGTGAGGCAATGTGGTCATGCCTGCAGTGAATTACCTCAGGTCCATGCGGTGAATGAGCCCGCAAGGACAGTGTGGACAGGGGAGGTGGACGCTGCGGCATGCGCATTCATGACAGCGGACACAGGACGATGTCTTCTGTATAAATTAATTAATAACGTGACGGACATGCGTGCATCTACCTGCCATTGTCAGTTGTACATGGTGGGGATAGAAGGTCACCAAGGCATCTTGCATTTAAATAGCTTTCTGAAATAGGTTACCCCCCCCCCCAATCTTCCCTATGTATTTTATAAATCAGATCTTGTATTCTAACCGTTTAGGAATTCGCAACTAAATAGTAAATACAATAGGAACAGTCAGAATGACATTACCGACAAAGACAAGGCAGACTGGAATGGCCATTTCTGGCTTATTAGCCGTCGTCAGCCAGCCATACCCTGGCCCGAAGTGTGGAACACCCGAGCCTTGAACTCGCGACCCGTTGGTTTAGAAGTCCACGCCTCTACCCACCGGGCCACGAGCCCGTTGCCCTGTGGTTCTGACCGAAAAGCATATCGTTGCCACTAAATTGCATGAGCTTCCCTCAGGCTAATCAATGCTTGGATCCTCATTAGTCCTTTGGAAGACAAGGCTCAGTTAGCGACATTGCTCCCATAAGCTGACGGCGCCCGTTTATTAAAACGGCCGCAGCTGAGTGCGTGAGGAGTGTTTCGGGCGGCCTGTGCATATCAATAGAACAGCAGCCAGAATAGAAGGGAAAACTTCAGAAACCACTCCGGTGTGTTCTGAAATCCTTGAACTTGTTTGCCCATAAAGCCCAATTCGTGTAACAGCTGAAATAACCAGCCTATGTTTTTGTGTTTTATTGTTAAGCCTGATGTCAAGAATTGGCAAAGAACGATCCTTAACTTGTCCACTCACTGATAATGCCTGATGAAGCACATATGCATTCGATTGCTTTCGCTCTCCAACAGAACTACAGGTTTTAGAGTTTGGAAAACCAGAGACCGCTTCACCCGAAAGAAGTCCACCCCTAAGTGTACAGGTTGGTGTGAGGTAATTTCAAATGCACTGATTTACTGAGACCACGTGTAGCGACTGAAGGCGTCAAGGGTAGCACACACCCACGGTCGAACAGATAACCTAGGTTAGCTCTCCGGTTGTGTAACAGTAGACAGAGTCGTTAAACACCACGTCAGACATGCATACAGTAATAAAGTAAAAGTATTTTTTAGTGTACGAAGTCCATGTTACGATAAACAAATGGATAGAGTTTAACAGTGGAAGATAACCAGTACATGAAAACAGCTAGGTACTGTACAAATGATCCATTTGGAGTGGGAGGTGATCACGTCATATCAGTTAGACTCCAGTGGGGATTGCAGCGTTGTCGACAACTTCGGGTAAGCGCCGGAGGTTGCGTTGCCGATAACAGAAACGAGTGACAAACGGACGACGAAACCAGGGGGTGGTGATGTCACTGAAAGAAAGGGAAGAAAAACCGGCCATGTTCGCTGGCAGGCGATCACACCAAACCTATCGGGGATCCGCGCTAAAGTGACCACAGCTCCTTCGAACAACCTTGTCGAATTAGTGGGGCGTTGCACACCCTGGACCCCTGTCCTTTTGACACGAGATTTGTATCGATCTGAGATGTAAAGTTTTCATCCCCAGTACTCCACACAAAAGTGGTATAAGCTGAAATGCTGTCGAAAAGTTTTGATACAGGAAACTTTTCTTCCAATTCCGACGCAAACTGATGATGACGTTTACCAGATTTGACGGTGCCTGCCTTTCTTTTGTGAAACTATCTGAGAGAAGAAGTCTGTCAATGGGTCCCAGAAAGATCAAAAACCGCGGTGTGGCGCCCACCATTGTAAAGACTGTTCGCTTGTGGCCTATCGACCAAAGGGTACTTGCGATTCATTTTGCCCTGTCACCCATTTCTTATTTATGGCTTCCTGACTTTTAGCTTAGTATCGCGGCTGCACCCCGGAAACCGTCCTTGAATAATGGGCTAACCCGAATTGGGACATCCGACGTGTGTATCTCCACCCCCTAGTAACCCCCTTTATTTTTCCGTATCTTTCCTCCCCACTTCAAACAAAGTCTCCTACGGGGATTGCGACTTGTGCCCATGTGGGCGGTTCAGGTAAACTATGTAACAAATGTAAAGAGCCTGCAATTCAATGCCGTGAAAGGCAAAACGTGAGGTCGACTAACACTATAAGTGCTTTTATTTTGCTGCTACTAAATCCATTGGAAATGATGCAACAACCTAAGGCGGAAATTCATACCTTGGCTAACAAGTGAAAGCTGTGCCATTCTCCTTCCTAACTAAATTATTGTTTCTTCGTCAAAACAAAAATTCAGAGCTAGAATGAGATGTGAATTACAAAGACTATTATCAGTGGCTAGGATTAAAACAAAGGGCATAGTATACAGCATTCTGGTTTAAAATTCTACTGCACTGTTTCGGTATATTAGCAGAAGTCGGCATTTGAGTCCACAATTATTTTACACATATTACAAAACCGAACCAGTCAGGCGTCAACAGTGCTGCTCGTGATTGTGTTTGCGATTTCACAGATTTTCATTTTGTTTTCGTGGTCCTCCTGGATCCTAGTCATCTTCCGTTTCAAGTCAGGGTGTGTAAAGAAGTCTGAAGAAAGGAAAATCAAAATAATTTCCTTCAACTTACTAGCTGCGTATTCTCTAACATTGTCCGGCTTCGTTTCGAAAGCTTCTCTAAATTGTCATTTGGACATGTCATTACTGGAGTCTTGATACCTCATGAAGGCTGTTATCATAAAGCCGATTTCTGGATGACTCCTGAGGTACTCCTCGTTCTCCTTTCGAGCTTTCACCTATTACAGTTTACCGGAGACAATCGGCAAAAACGCCCTACCTTGGTAAGGTTAATTGAAGCTTGTTGTGAGTAGTTAAGAGCACCAATGTCATTTTCGCCACCCAAGTCATATGGGGACTTGCTGCGTGGAGGATCGTGCTTTGGCTTGTCGGCATTCATCGCTGTATAAAAGCGATCTGAGGTTCCTTAACGTTGGTTTACTTCAAAAGATTAAATGGAGAAACAAAAGAATAAATGGAACGGTCAGTGAGCAAAGAAACTGACTATGTTTTTATCATATTCGACATTTTTACGAGCACTTGTCACTGGCTTGACGAGTTAATATATATATATATATCGTACTCCTGACATAGGTACTAACTGAAGCCCAGACACGTGTTTCGTCGATATTCTGCCGCTGCCTGGCACAGCTGTGATGGACTCTGCTCATCAGTGGTCCCCCATTTCTTAAATGTTCATAGAAATCTCGGTTCTGACACTAAAAGTCATGTCTCGGAGACTTAACTCCATGTCCTGCACTGAGTAATTTCTGAAATTATTAACTCGACATATATATATACAGTAAAGGAGAATGCTCATCGGAGAATCGGGATTTACTCGCACACTAGTGTGATTATCCCCGCCATCATTATTCATTTTATCAATCGACAGGCCAATGTAACCGACTTGAAAATTCCCGAGTACACTTTCATTTTCCGACGAGCCTTCTCTTTCTATTATCTCATCTCGGAGTGCATACTGCCTCCATTATTCATTATATAAATGGGCGTTTTAGACAAATAGCTAGGAATGTTTCTGGTGATTTTCATCTTTAAAGTTTTTGGCTTGGCAATCGGTCATTGCCACCCAGTCAGGTCTGATTGGCGGAGTACTTTTCTGGCTATTGCCGCTCACAGCGACATTCAGTCTAACTAAATGCAACAAAAGGACACATGCGATGTAATTTATGGCCTACATTGACATCGTACTTCACCGTCGTCAGACCATATCGGCGAAACGAATCACAAAATTGTCCTCTTCAGGCAAGCATTACAACAAAAAATGAAACATTAGTCAGCCAAATTTGTCGGGATGCGTGGCAATATTTCTCTAAATTCAGACTTTAAAGCAGTGCGTGTGTATTTGACACTAGAATACTTTTACCTAACAAATTGCCGTTTTAATCTAGCAAAATCCAGAAATGTGCGCTGAGGGCAAGCGGTCGTTTTTAGTTAAGTCTAGTTAGCTTAAATTACGTACGTTAAAGAAGGCTCGGGCAGACGCTCCGAAACCCCAAAATCGTTCAGGAGTAAAACTATCGATACTCGACAATTTATCGACACTCAGAATTTGCAGTCAGTTATTTTATCATCTGGTGCTGTCTTCCGCGTGGGTTGTACATATGTTTATTAATAGAAGCGGATATAGGAGCAGTCGTAAAGAAGGAGACACGATCGCTGGAACAAGAGCGATATTTTATTTCTAAATGGCGAGCGGCGTCGATTAGAAAATTAGTCGATTACTGGCATCTTAACGCTTAAACTTTAGATTCAGGAGAAATTCAATCTTTTGTTGAAAACTGTAGCCGTCTTTTGAAAAATACAGGACTTAATAACTGCTGCTTGATCATTCACAAAGGAATGAAACATCATTCAATCAAAGAGTCGGGATAAAAATGAACATTTCTGGCATTTATATCAAACACGTGACCGTATGGTGTCCGGAAGTGCATATTTTACGGATGTTACTGATAAGAGCTAGAACGCTACGATGACATTCCTATTCCAAAATAATTGAATGTTTTTATATGAGCTGGTGAAGCCTGGGGATGTTACTCGCGATAGGCTAGCTCGGGTTTAATCCTCACACGCGCCCATGTCAGTGTTAGTATTTTGGTATATGTTTTCGTTTTGATAATACTTCCGTCAGAAATATGATTTTTGCTAGGAAAAGCGCGCCGCTGCTCCATGGCAAAGATAGCGACTGGGCTAATGCATGATTTCAGAAGTCGGAAAGGTTGTTGCCACTTGGCCGAATAGCGATTTTGGTTTTTTTAATTCAGGATTTTAGTTTAAATCCCGCGCACTTAACAGCCGTGAGATAAGATAGACTGAGAAATGAAGCACACAGTCAGTGGCCAGTCTCCGAAAATGTTATCCAAAATTCTAAAATGCGTTTTCAATTAGGAAGGATTACTTAGCGGGGCCTCAAGACTGGTTATTTTGCTACGTAATACCGTGATATTTGAGACGGGCCATGATAACAGCTTTTGAATGCTGTTCTGCCTGGACATCTGTAAACGCCGCACTCGGTAAAAATATCCACTTAGGTAGTATGTACTTTTCTTTGATTTTCAATGTCTTTATAAATTCAAATGTGTTTTGTAGAAAGCCTCCATTAACATTGTTTTATATACTCATTTAATATCAGAATACGTTTTTTGACAAATTTATACTCAAAGAAAGGGTATCTTTTAATTCCAAAGACGTTTTCTAATTACAACTAATTTTTAGCTCAATCTGCCGTTGCATTTTTATCAGGACTTTCAGCCAACGAGCCGTTCACTTTCCGGGTAGGGAAAAACTTCCCTTTAAGCCATTACCAGAATACCTTATGGGCATCAGAAAATATTGCAACGGATTCGCACCACGTTGCATGACTATGGAGGAGTATAATTAAACAGACAGGAGAGGACGTTCTTCTAGAGAGAATTTCACGGTTTTAAAAATTCTCGAATTTAGCGACTATTTTTAACTATTGGATACCCTTTCATTGAGTGTAAATTTAAAAAGATGTGATTTGCTGCCAAATTCGCTCGAGAAACAAATTTTATGCAGGCTTTGGCAGGTATAGCTAAAGTTATAAGGGCACTGAAAACCTATTGAAAAAATGCCTACTTGTTACATAGTCATTTTCTACGGAGTGCAGTTTTTGTAGACTACCGAAAAGAATTATATTCTAAAGCCAACGCCCTGATGTGTTTAAAATATTACGGTTCAATGCCAAAAATTATTTTTAACATAATTGCACCTGCATAACCCATCTTGATCGAAAACAGTTTTTAGAATTTTAATTGATATTTCAGGAGACCGGTCACTGAACGTAGCTAGTCGACAAAGTTTCATCTTTACAACGCAGTCCCCTGCATTGTCTCAATTAGCGCACCAGAGAGCAAAGGATTTATCAGAAAATGTCTCTTTCTGCATGCAAAGGTATTTGCTGAATGTGCAGTTAAAATGCTTCCTCAACCCTCGCATAATATGTCTTCAACGTGGATAGTAGAAGTTGACAAAGTGCAGTTATTCCTGCAATCGTAATTCAAAACTGTGTTCTCATCTATTATTTTTTAGACATATGTTTGTATGTTTTTTTAGTTTTAATCACATTGGAGCAGATTCTGGTTCCACAAACTGTGGTATAAATACGTTCGCCGACCAGGTTGCGGGACGGACCCCTCCCGTTACATCTTTGGTTTTCACCTATAGCCCCCTGCAGGCTGTCGCCTGCCGGCACTCCTGCTACAAAATTTTCCATGGCTGTTGGATTGTTGGCGAGGATTCTGGTTTGAGTCTCCTGGCCCAGACGAACTAACATGTCCCGTAACCTGGTCAGTGAATGAACTTCTAACACAGCTAATATTTCTGATGGAAACCAACGGGACGAGTCCGTGAATTAACGATAAGGCACTGGACTTAATAACGTCTTATAACCAGAAAACGACGGTTCAAGGTTCAGGTTCCCCGAATCCGGCTAGAGGTGGCCTATAAGTATGAACTGGCTATGCTGGCCTTCCTGGCTTGCTACAGTACTTTTACCAAGAATTTTGGATCTTTACTTTCAAAGTAATACGAATTTCTGTCTATTTCTCTCCTAATTCTATTAGGCCATCTACACAGTAATGTTTTTAGTTTCAAACAGTATATTAGCATTTTAAGTAACTGTGGCCGATTAAATCCACATTTAGGTAACCTGATCGGTGAGCGCCCACTATCATTATATATATATATATATATATATCGATTTTCCGAACTGTCTCACAAACGCGAAAGAGGGATATCCAATTAATAGGATGTGGCCAACTCGAGTTAAATAAACGATTCTACGACGTATTAAGTTGTCAGTGAAAATCCCCACGCAACCTCTTCCAAATTTTCTTTACTACTCCCTCATTTTTCTAATGCTTTTTATGCTTTAAAGCAGAAAATTTCCTCAGGTCAACGGGCAGTGATTACTAGTAAATATCATATTTGTCAGCAAAATCGACGCCTGTTAAATATATTTGCCAGGCGTCGATTTTGCTGACAAATATGATATTTACTAGTTATCACTGCTCGTTGAAATTTAACTTTGAACTGCCAAATAAAATTAAAATTTTTTGTTCTGTATAGTTAACTATACAGAGGGAATATGCATATTAATATGCATATACCCATACAACTGCCTGGATATATTTTGTTACTAAGGTCCCTGATTAGAAGAGGAGCATTGAAAGTGTAGATAAATGCCTTTATTTTTATAATGAAACATGTTTCAGATACAGTTTCGAAGGACAATTTGTGTCTCGTTATCCAGATCTCTGCCAGATCTTGGATACCCTGCCAGCACCAGCTATAGCCCATTTATGCTTCAATATACAACATTTATTAATCCTATAATTAAATAAGTTCAAACTTAACTATTTTAGATATCATTTTTCAAAACACATAAAAAATTCACTTTCTAAAGTCAGAAAATATAGGAGAAACATGTGTTTTAGGCTTTTATGTATTAAATTTTGGAAAATGTTTAACTGTGAGGTGTTAACGTGCTGTAATAAAAAGCTATAGCAACAGGCCGCACTCGGTAAAACGTCAGGTTCTCTAAAGGACCTGTAGATCTATTCAGAGTTCAAACCATTATTTCAAGTGCCATTCCTGAAAAACAAGACTGCTTTTAGTTCAAATCATGCATCTACCAATACTCAGATCATCCACATAAACAGTCTTTGGGGGTCGTAGGTAACAAATATAAGCTCAGTCAGTCAGTGCATTTAAGGGAAATAGGCTTACACCTTCGAACTCCCTATTTGTACATAAAAAATCGATAAATAGGCAAGATGTGAAGAAATTACAGCATTAAGTGAATGCAGCCATTAATGCACATAAGTCATTTGTCTCATGGCTAAAAAGTCACATAGTCCT